TCCACAAAAAAATTAATGCATGAAAATATTAAATTCCTGGAATTCCCCAATATGAAAATAAATATTTTCCGATGGAGAATAATAATAATAAATAAAATAATAACTCACGCAGTAATGTGCGATCTCCACAAGGTACATTAGCAGGAATATCGCAGAGTTCCTTTTTAGGATTATCATCCCTGAAGACAAGTCCATCCTTGCAGAGTTTTTCTTCAGGTTTGCTATTGGTGCAGATGTAGTACAGATCGCACTGCTCCGGATCCCCGAAGAAGCCTTTGGGTTCAGGGCATTGGAATTGCCCCCAGGCTGTCTTCACCAGCATCAGGATAACGATGTGCCACACTGGTGATGGCATTGTGATGTCTCGCAATTAAATTTATCGTACACCCCGATAATCGAGTGGAGTTGAATGTTGTGTTGGATCTGGTGGAATCGTACTGATTCCGTTTCACTCGACTGGGCCTCTACACCACCTTCAACAAACCCCCACACCTTTCGCCGAAACACTCTCACAAACGGTCCACCATTTTCCAGGGATCTCAACACTATTGCCACGTATGCACTTTCCATTATGGATTTGTCAACCCCATTGTTCATTGATTTTTTTCAAAATATTACTTTCTCCAGAAAATTATTATGAATTTGCAAATGCAAGTAACAAAAAAAATCATTTCTATTCACTAACCAAAAGACTTCATTGTTTATTTATTTCATTCATTTTTTTTCTATTTGTAAAATAAATTGTGGGATTATCGGATTTTACGGAGAAATTCGAGTTCCAATGAGAATTTTTTGGAGTTCCACTGAGAATTCGATTTCGCCGGATGGAACTTCTCGTTTTAATTGCACCCCGGAATTCCTGGAGTTCCAGGGAATATTCCCCTTGGATTTTTCAGAGTTCCACCGGAACTCCGGACATAAAAAAAATTACGGAGTAGTTCCCCGGAATTTTCACTGGAAATCCGTAAAAATTGGACAGAATTCCCGTCGCGCGGAAATATAAAAAGGGAATGTTGCAAATTTATCCCGCATTTCAATAATTTTTAATGCAAATAATTGAATAATTTAAAGAATGGGGAGGGGGAGACCCTGCGGTCAGACCGGTGGTATTTACTCGAGACGATGAGTGATATTTACCGGTGGAATATTTCGAGGGAAAAGTGACATAACTGCACTTTGACATTTGACGAATAAATTTCCTGGCTGAATAAATTACTCACGTTCTCGTGACATTGTCGATTGAACAGTTGATA